GCCATGGTGACGAGAACTATTTATCTTTTTATAGATGCATAGCAGCATATTAGTACTGTGATCTTCTTCTTCGTGAGTACCATATGTTCAAGGAAATCACATCCTTTCAGTAGAGGGTTAGCGACGTTTGCGTCGCGTTACTTGTTCAGTTGGGTGAAAAAGCAGCAACTAAAGAAGTGATCGATGGACTGGTGCAGATGATGGAGAATCAAGATCCGAATGTCCGATCCAGTGCGTGTGAAGTCCTCGGGCAGTTGGGTGAAAAAGCAGCAACTAAAGAAGTGATCGATCGACTGGTGCAGATGATGGAGAATCAAGATCCGAATGTCCAATCCAGTGCATGTGAAGCCTTCAGACAGTTGGCTGCAAAAGCAGCAACTAAAGAAGTGATCGATGGATTGATGAATGCAATAGTACGGAATAAATGTGTCTTAGACCGATGGGAAGTATCTGAGATGGTGAAAAATATACTTCGTCGCTCAGATGATTTGAAAGAGCTGGATGTAGTGGAGTTAGGAAAGCTGGAGTTAATAATTAAGGGCACCAGGTGTATTCGGCTGGAAGGTTTTTCTGCGCGGCACTGGGTTGATCTATTTTTCGATACTAAGTGCCCTGGATGGTTGCCGATTGTGACTCATGCGATGCTGTTGCAAGGAAGTGCGGCCACTGTTTCAGAAAATACGATGATGCTATATGGGAATGATGAACCTGTGAGAATTGCAGCGCTTCATGAAGAATTGTTTCAGCAGTTGGTCAGTGCTTTAGACCAGCAGAGGCTGAAGCTGGAGAAGGTATGAACTGATTTATATTCGTGAGTGTCTTAGCTATATGCACTTTAAATGACTTATGCTCACCTAGATTAGAATGAATTAGTGAACTGGTGAGGATCGCTGACATCGGAAAGTGAGGCTAATGGATTTCGAATGCTAGTAGTAACCTAATGGTGGTTTTGAGACTACTAAAAAACCCTGATACATGTTTGTACGTCTCAGCAGAAAAGAGTAGAATTAACAGATTTAGTCCAAAGTGAGTGACGAATCAGATTAGCTTGGTCATGATGGTGATTGGATGCTAGCACACAGTTTGGACATTTAAATAGTACCAATGTGCGCATCGGATTATGAGCTACTTGTTTGCATGTATTCAGTTTAAAAGACATTTGTCGGAGCCCTATATAGTCATTATATGTTTTATCAATCTCATAGGGGCGGACGTCATTTTCTGCTGGTAAATGGAAAGGGACATTAAGGTAGACAACGATATTCTTGTCTAGTGTTTTCTATCCAATGTTGAGAACCGAATATAGGTTTTAGACACCACCAATCAAATGGTGTCGTTGAGGAAATGATGACAAAAATACATGCAGAATATACTGGTTCTCTTTCTATTCTTCCAGCTACTTGTCGTATCGTCTTGATGCTTCATGTATAAAATGCTGTTTCGCTATCTTTGTCATATTTCGTTCAGCTACTTTATGTCTCATTGAAGAAGTTATTGGAGAAGATTCAGCTGCCAACTGCTAACGGGTGTTCCGAAAAGGATGGCCACTCTTTACTTTTTCTCTAACTCGCTTATCTTTTACCCCAAAGACTTAATTTTTTTCGAAAGATTCGTCTTTCTAAGCTCTACAAAACCCTATCAAAGATTTATTGCAAATAATTTCCATTGTTATTGGACAAACGATACAAGCGGTTTGTCCAACTTTTGCAACTGCTCAAGAGAACGAATTCTCTTATTTGACGGACACCTCGTTTTAATTCATCGATCAGAGTTTGTTTTTTATTTGACTTTTGCCCAGTTGATTTGTTAACCAAACTCATCCGAAATTGAGGAGTCTAGAGGATTGAGATCGGGTGAGTTTGGGTGCCAATGATTCTTGTCGATGAATGGTGGGAAATTCTTCTGGCACCATTCTTGAGTCGCAGTATGTGTGTGAGGCTTGGCACCATCCTGTTGACAGGTTCAATTGTCACCAAAAGGCTCGTTTCCATATTTTAAAGCCACCGGTAACACTTGATTGATGTGCCGTTCATGATGCATCTTTCCCTGATCCAGAATAATTAATGGTGTCAATCTCTTGGAGCATGCACCTAACCAAACCATTACTTTCTGCGGAAACTTCCGTTTCTATTTGACACCACCTTTTTAGCCAGCCTCTTCATGATTTACTGCCCATATTCGGTCGTTTTGAGCATTGTAGATGGTATCGAGATCGAACATTTTCTCATCTGAGAAGAGAATTCTCAAGGTATCTTCTTTACAGAAGTTATGCCGCACCCAATTTGCAAATGTCACTCTTTCACTCTTTTCGAGATCTGTAAGAGCTGGTTCAACTCTTTTTTTTGTACGAACGATATGCTAGATCCTGTTTCAAGTTTCTGACAACAGATCCTTTGGAGATATTCAGCTCACTGACAAGTTTTCTAATTGACACTTTTTTACGTTTCATTCGATTTTTCACCTTTTGGATCATCCCTTTGGTTCTGATAATCCATGGACGCCCCGGTGAGTGCAATAAGTTGATAGAACCTGTCCGTCTCGTCATTGCAGACCACCGCCGAATAGTTCGAGAACTTACAGTACCGTTCAAGTCTTCAAAGATTTTGGCTGGAGGTTCACCTTTTTGATATTTGGAAAGTACTAGTTTCTGGAAATCTTCACTTTTCATCTTGAAAAATTTTATTTTGTAATTTCTTTTGAAAAGTAAACCTATCTTTTTATAGAGAGACAGAAAACGAATGACAAAAGCAAAAAAGAGAGGTCGCCAAAGCAAAAGATGGTCAGGAAAATGGTGATACAATGAGTGGCCGTTCTTTTTGGAACACCCGTTATATGTTGCATTTGTTTCGTCTACCTCAATATCTCCCTTTGCATGCGATGTGAAAAGAACTGTCCAATAGAAAAAAACATCTAAAACAAACGAGAAGACATCAATCTTTTTAAAAGTCTGATCTACATTTATTTTAGCTGTCTGAAAGTGGTAAGTGTTCAACGATGCCGAACGAATCGAAACATGAAATGGAGGTGGATGACGTTGACGGTCAAACAAGAGAGACTAGCCACATATCACCAAGTGCTACTATTCTATCATCATCGACTTCAATGACTGAAAACTTGAAAGCAAAACCAAATTGCAAATGATCTTCATCTAATGAAGAAAAGACTATTTCTTCAAGTACCAAGAAATCACGAAAATAAGCGGAAATTGTCATGAGAAACTGTTGATTTAATCATTTATTCTTATCTATTTTCATATTTTCATATTTCCATTTTATTGTATCTCTTTACGATGATCATAGATGTGGGGTGTGGGTGTGGGCTGTGGTGGCCATTAAGGGAAGATTAACGCTCACACCCACACCTCCACGCCCACAAGTATGAGTCAGTGTTCATTATAATAATAGGAATCTGATGTCATTTCTCATAGGAATTCTTGATTTTATTTTGATTTAAACGCAAAAAAATGATCAATCTTCCTGTAAATTTAAATTCGGTAGAAGTTCTTCTATTTGATATAGTCTTTACTTGTAATTCTTCAGCTGAATGCTTGAAAGCAGAATTTCACTTCACATATTCAAGTCATTTGAATCGAATAATTGGTCAAAACGAACTAGGGTATGGGTGTAGGGTGTGAGTGTGAGTATGGGTATTCATCTCATTTTTATCAATAACACACTCACACCCACACCCTTAGAATCAACATTAAATTCTGAATAAAATAGACTATTTAATTTTTTGTATAGGTCAAAAAATTTTGGGTCGTTGTACCTTCCGAGGATCCAAAAAAAATTTTTTTTTAAATTTTAACCCAAGTTTATGTGATCTATGGGCTATCGGCATTGCTGATCACAAATATCATATTTATTTTACTTCAAAATATTCAAAAAAGTGAGGACAAAGGTTTTTTTATAATAGGAATTATTCTGGTCTACCTCCTTTTCTGACTAGTATTCGTCCTAAAAATCGAGTTTCAAGTGATGAAATATTGCTCTGGCACACACTAATACGTACTACATTTGAATCACGCAAAATAAAACTTTATTGTTTTTGCGCCTTCACCCGAAAAAGTGAAGAAAATGGTCGGTTTTATTATTTCAGGCGTATTTGAGGGGACTATTACATGTTTCGTCGCATAAGCTACCTACATAGATCGGTACAGTTTTTGATGCTCTTTCCGATTATAGTATCAAAAATGTGAGAAACAATGTAGAACATCTCGAAAAATCCAGAATAAATAGACAGTAAGGCTCCGCTATATGTATAACAAGAACCTTAATAAATAGAAATACGTTTTCTGAAAAGAAAAGTCATTAGATTTTTGATCTATTTAGTTCTTAATGATATAGTTTATACAAGCAGAACTGTTGGTCACGGTATAAAGAGTGCTGATGTCAAACGGCACGTAGAACTCGTTCTGCTAATGCCTGAGGACATTTTTTGATTTCTTTAAAAATAAAAAAAAATTTCTTAATGTTTCTTTTCGCATATATATGAGATCAACTATAATGTTGGTATAAAAGAATAGTGTCCTAAGTAAATATTAAAAATAAATAAAATAAAAATAATATACAAGATCATTTATGTATTTTGTTTTAAGTAAAAAGAATATATAGTAAACATTTTGGACCATATTAATGATGATTGAACAGAATGAAATACATAACTATATAATGAACTAACAGTTGAACAAGCATGTTCGTGGAACTCTATTGTTTTGCTGGCATTAAGATGTTGGACTAGAAAAATTCAAATTGAATTAAAAGAAATTTTTATTTCCGATTTTTGCATACTTCTTGGTACATGTGTTTCACAAAATGAGAAGACAGAACCAGCTACATCAGATGTTTTATGTACTGTGATTGTTGGTACATGAAAAACCTAAATATAAAAATAAATTAAAATTAAAAAAAAAAGATGAAAAGAAATTTTCCTACAATCTCTTTGCCATGTTGAATTGTTGATGTAGTTGTATCCTTAACTGAATTCATTACATGACGAATAGATTCGATTTTTTCGTTGAATGTATTCATAACCTCTTTAGTTGGTGTATTAATAACAGGATATTTAGATTCAATTTGACGAAACTTTTCGACAGCATAGTCATCAATTGCATGTACTAAATTATGAGAACATATATATTAAAAAAATAAACAAATTTGTTTAAAACAAATTTACCAAGTCCATATAATAGTTTGACAAGGGGATTAGCAACTGTAAGAGCAATTTTTATTGATTTATCCACAGCTGTTTCGACTAATTTGCATGGAAGCCGAATGAGCACATTTGTATCTTTAGCTTTGGCATACATCTCGTGAAGTTTATTAGTTGATGAACGGACGACTTTTAATTATCAAATAAAAAAAAACACAATTAAAAATAATATTAAAAGTAACATTTTCTTACCTGGTATGTCGTGGAGATATGAGAGAGTTTGAAAGCTCAACATGGTTCAGATGAACAAGAAATAAAAATATAGTAATTAGATACAAAGATTGAGGTAAAAAATCTAATGCACATGCTTCTCTTTATATACCAACAAACCGACATACACACATAAGTTAAAGAACAAATTCAAAAACGTAGCGGTCGACGAAGAAATGAGATAAAAAAAACAAAGGTTGTAGTGTGACAAGATAAAAGTGGACTACAGTCAAGGTAAAAAGATCAACGAAGAAAGAGTAAAGGTTGGATGACTAACACACAAAACAAACTTTGACTCAAATAAAAATCTTTTACTAGAAAATTCTTTCCCATAAACATAGAAAAAAAAATATTCTAATACTTTGGCATTAGTATTAAATTAACATCAGGATAATGCTAAGACCTAGCATGATTATGCAAGCTGTTTATAGTTATATCACTTTAGCTTCTATCTACTAGGATTCCGTTGTAACACTTCTATAAGAAAAATATAATGTTGATATTGCAGTTAAATGAATATACATCGATAGGTTTTTTTTCTTCAGAAAGCATAAGTACGTTTATTAGAAATCGGTAGTATAAAAAGAAAAGTCATTCAAAGGATGATTTAGGATGACAGCATCGTATATCACTTGATTTTCATATGACAGATGTCAAAGTGAATAATTTTTTTTTAGCAAAAGATATCTAACAGCTTTTTTTTTCACTATTCTGCTTATGATTATATAAATGCTTATTAAGTATATTCTTTTTCGATGCCTGTCTACACGTATAAAGCACAACAAAATCATTTCGGGAAAATTACTTCATGTGTCGTTTCAATAAACTCTCATTATCTGAATTATATCTTGTAGATTTGAATACTACTACAAATAAAATCCTGACATAACAGTTGAATATCAGTTCAATGCATTTTTATCTATGAAATCAAGTAAAAAAACATTCTTCTGAACTGAATTTCTACTTAATTCATAAGATTACGACTAAATAAAAGACACAAGAAAAAAGCATGATATACATTCTGCCTTTGATATTGACATCTGTGCATTTGACGTAGAAAGACAAGGCAACAGAAGAGGATGATCCTTTGAATGAGTTTTCTTTTTACACTATCGATTTCTAATAAACGTCCTTCTGCTTTCTCAAAAAAAAACCTATCGATGTATCTTCATTTGGTGACCGGACTGAATGTCGCAAGACAAAATGTCGCGGACAAAATG